CCATTAAGTCCAGCACAGAGGTACCAAGGTTGGTACAGTCATCAGGATTCAAGGCCAGAAAGGGCAGCTTTCAGAGAAGTTTGAGGGACTTTGCTGGCATTGTAACAACCTGGGGCACAAGAGAGTTCAATGCCAGCAACTTCAACACAGGGAAGATGCTACGGCGGGAAACACTGCTACCCAGAAATGTTGTTGGAACTGTAGAGAGCAAGGACATATGAGGAGCCAGTGTAAGAAGAATACTACCAATATGTCAGCTTCGGGAAACCAGTAGTGGTTGGTGTTGAGAAACGTCCACCAACCTCTATTGTGAAAGTCCCAACAGCTAAGTGTAAAATGGCAAGTACACATAGTGTCTACGTGACAGGAAAGCTGGATGGCCAAAAGTGCAACTTTGTCATAGATTCTGCATCTCAGCAAACCCTTGTGAGTATCAAGGTGCTAGATCACAAAGGGGATTCAGAAGCCATAGAGAAGCTCTGTGGTGTGACAGGACATTATGCAAAATTGTGGGGACCAGTGTGGGTAACTATTGAGCTCATGGGCATAAAGGACAGACATAAAGTATACTTGGCTGACATTGAAGATGAATGCATCTTAGGATTGGACTATCTACTACCAAGAAAGTTTGTAATTGATTTTGATAAAATGACGCTTGGGAATAACAAAGGCCAAGTTCCAGTAACTGTTAAAAGAGAGGTTGAAATAATTAGGTGCCGACTGAAAAAGATGATGATGGTGAAGTGGAGCCAAATATAGATATCAGGGCAGAACAGGAGAGGGACCAAGATTTGAAGCCAATGATTGATTTCCTAAAAGCAAGTGTTTTGCGCCCTGCGTGGGAGAAGGTGTCTAGTCTAAGCCCCGTGACAAAGCACTATTGGGCACAATGGGATCAATTAAAGCTTGAAGATGGTATTCTTGTACGGAGATGGGAAACTACCGATGGGAAAGTGACGATTTGGCAAACAGTTATACCGAGGAAGTTACGGGAAGTTGTGCTGCGTCAATCCCATGATAATTTAACAGGAGGACATCTCGGAGTTAGGAAGACATTGAGTCATCTACGACGAAGATTTTATTTGATAGATATGAGGCGAGATGTGGAAGAATGGTGCAGTACATGTAGTGCTAAAAGGGGACCCAAGCATAAGGGATGCACACCTTATGAAGAGTTGCCTGAGAATGTGTCAGAGTTTGTGAAAGAGTTATCGGAAAGGATGGATGATATCCGCCATCAAGTGCGTTCAAACTTGAAAACTTCTGCTGATTCGATGAAGTTAACTTATGATAAGAGATCTACTGAAGTCAGCTTTGAACCAGGAGACAAGGTGTGGTTGTATAATCCCAGGAAGATCAAAAGGAATTCTCCTAAGTTGTCTTCTTCATGGGAAGGCCCATATGACATAGTGGATCGTCTCTCAGACGTGACTTTTCGGGTAAAATGTGGTCGGCGAGGTAAACCAAAAGTGGTGCATGCCAACAGGCTTTGGCGTTATCACAGTCCAGGACATTTCAGTTGGGACGAAGTGGACAACAGAACAAATGACACTGCCGAAGACGTGCCACCTGAAGAAGCCACCGTTGAAGAAGAAACTCTACTCAGTTTTGAGAAGGAAATCGATGAAGATCTTGATGAAGTTACTACCACTGATGTGACTGTTACCGATGATAGGACATTTACTGATGTAGCAGATGAACTCCACATGAAGCAGAAGTCAACGAGACGGAGACCAATACGGAAGAAGATATGTCCCGTAAAATTAAGAGACTTTGTTGAATTATAATTTTGTGTTTGTAATTCTGTACATTTAATTAAGTTATTGTTAATTCTTATTGGTTTTTTGTATGTGGTTATTGTTCGTCTCGAACAATACTAAGGAAGGGGCAGTGTTGCGTCAGCGAAGTCACATGACTAGTGTCACGCCACGTTTCTAGAACTATCCTGTACCTTGGCGAATGCTCTAGCATTTAGTAGATATAGGGTATGCTGGTATATAAAAGAGGGTGACAACGTGACGGGACAATAATGTGTGTGGAGGTAGTGAGTAATT